CAATTAAACTAAAGAGCTTCTACACAGCAAAAGAAACTATCATCAGAGTAAACAAGAAACCTACAGAGTGGGAGAAAACTTTAGCAATCTATCCATCTGACAAAGTTCTAATATCCAGAATCTACAAAGAATTTAAGTAAATTTACAAAACAAAAAATCATTCAAAAGTGGGCAAAAGACATGAACAGACACTTCTCAAAATAAGACATTTATGCATCCAACAAACTACAAAAAAATAGCTTAACATCACTAGTCAGTAGAGAAATGCAAATCAAAATCACAATTTGATACCATCTCATGCCAGTCAGAATGGCAATTATTAAAAAGTCCAGAAACAACAGATGCAGGTGAGACTGTGGAGAAACAGGAATGTTTTTACACTGATGGTGGGAATGTAAACTCCACAATAGTCAAACCATTGTGGAAGACAGTGTGATAATTCCTCAAAGATCTAGAACCAGAAATATCATTTGACCCAGCAATCCCATTGCTAGGTATATACCCCCAAAAATATAAATTATTCTATTACAAAGATACATGCACATGTATGTTCAGTGCAGCACTATTTACAATAGCAAAGACATGGAATCAACCTAAATGTCCATCAATGATAGACTGGATAAAGAAAATGTGGTACATATACACCATGAAATACTATGCAGCCATAAAAAGGAATGAGTTCATGTCCTTGGCATATATATATAAAATATATAAAATATATTATATACATTATATATGATATACATTATATATTATATAATATATATTTTATATATGGTTTTATACATGTTTTTAAACCATATATTCAATTATCCCATTTATATTAACCATATATAACATATATAATATATATTATATTTTTTATATATATGGTTTAAAAATATGGTTTATAATATATATTATATATATATATGTATGTGTGTATGTGAATATATATATATTAGCTTACAGACTGCATAAAACAGATAAAATATAAAATACAGAAAAACAGACCACAGGACAGATTTGGCCTCTGGGCCATACTGTGCTGATTGCTACTCTATAGAAAATCCACTGGAATCTACCAAAACTCATCTAAAACTAATAAGTTTAGCTTTTAGGATACAAAATAAGTATACAAAAATTAATTACATGTCTGCATACTAACAGTTAATGAGCAGAAATTGAGTGAAAATATCATTTAAAATAGCATCAAAAATATAAATTATCTAAAGAAAGAGACATATACTGAAAACTGCATAATATGAGAGAAACTAACAAAGACACAAATAATTAGAGAGATAGACGTTGTTTATGAGTTAGAAGACTCAGTATTTTTAAGATGTCTTTTTTTTTTTTTTCTGAATTGATCTATGGATTCAAGACAGTCCCAGCGAAAATTCTACCACATAAGTTGACAAGTTGATCAAAAAATTCATGTGGAGACACAAAAATTTTGAATAACCAAAACAACCTGAAATAGAATAAATTTAAAGGACTAATACTATTGCTTTCAAGTGCTAATAATATGGTTTTCAAAAGTTATTAAAACTGTAAAATAATCCCAACATTGTGGTATTTGCATAAAGTTAGACAAATAGATTAGTGGAATAGAATACAGAGATCAGAAATAGACCCACACATGGCTGACCACATATTTTCAACTAATTTTTCAGAAATGAACAAAGGTATTTCAGTGAAAAAAAAATTAATAAATCATACTAGAACAATTAGTTATCCATAAAGTAACTTGGATCTACACAATGACAAAAATTAACTCAGAATGAATTGTAGATGTATTTGTTCATTTCATACTACTATAAAGAAATATCCAAGACTGGGTAATTTATAAAGGAAACAGGTTTAATTGACTACATGGCCTCAGGAAACTTACAATCATGGCATAAGGCAAAGGGGAAACAAGCACCTTCTTCACAGTGCAGCAAGACAGAGAAGAGAAAAGGAGGAACTTCCAAACAGTCTTAAAACCATCAGATCTCATGAGCACTCACTATCATGAGAACAGCACGGGGGAAAACCCCTATGGTCCAATCACCTCCCTCTCTCAACACGTGGAGATATAGTTCCCTCCATCAACACATAAGAATTACAATTAGAGATAAGGTTTGGGTGGGGACACAGAGCCAAACCCTATCACTTTGCCCCCAGCCACTCCCAAATCTCATGTCTTTTAACATTTCCAAACCAATCATGCCTTCCCAACAGTTCCCCAAAATCTTAACTGATTTCTGCATTAACTCAAAAGTCCATAGTCCAAAGTCTCATCTGAGAAAAGGCAAGTCCCTTCTGCCTATAAGCCTGTAAAATCAAAAACAAGTTAGTTATTTCCTAGATACAATGGGGATACAGGCATTGGGTAAATGCTCCCATTCCAAATGAGAGAAATTGGCCAAAACAAGGGGGATACAGGCCCTGCACAAGTCCAAAATCCAGTGGGGCAGTCATTAAATCTTAAATCTCTGAAATAATCTCCTTTGGCTCCATGTCTCATATCGGGGGCATGCTGATATAAGAGGTGGGCTCCCACAGCCTTGGGCAGTTCCTTCATGGGTTGCTACTGAAAGTTTGTGGCTTTTCCTGGTGCATGGTGCAAGTTGCCATTGGATCTACCATTCTGAGGTCTGGAGGATGGTGGCCCTGTTCTCACAGCTCCACTAGGCAGTGCCCCAGTGGGGACTCTGTGTGGAGTCTCCAATCCCACCTTTTCTTTCCATACTGCCCTAGTAGAGGTTCTCCATGAGGGCTCTGCCCCTGCAGCAGACTTCTGCCTAGATATACAGGCATTTCCATACGTCCTCTGAAATCTAGGTGGAGGTTTCCAATCTTCAGTTCTTAACTTCTGTGCACCCACAGGCCCAACACGTTGCAGTCTTTCTGCCCCTTAGCTCAGATAGGTCTGAGTTCTTGTCTCACAACCAGGAAGAATTAGGTGTGTGGATACTGGAGAGTGAGTGGAGTAGAATTTATTAAGCAAAAGAGAAACTCTCAACAAAGAGAAATGTGGCAAGAAGGGAATGGTTCCCCTACCCAAAGGCTGGAAAGTACCCCCTTGTGCCTGGTTCTGGGGCCTTTTATGGACTCAGAATGAAAAGTATGTGCTGATTGGTCTGTGAATATGCAAAAAAAAAAAAAAGTTAAAGTAAAGACACCACTCAAAGATGGCCACAACAGTGTAGAAAACTAATTAGGAAAGGGTTGGCATATGTACAATAGGTGAAGGGTGGGTATCAATCAGAGGAAAGTGCACCAAACAAGAAAACAAGTTCTCAATCCAGTCCAAATATTTAACTTGTAGCTTGGCTTTCAGGTTATAAACTGTCTTTGGCTTGAAGGTGGGGTTTCACCAGGGACCCAAGCCTATCTGCCTAGGCATTTGGCTGCCTTCTGCTACTCTCAACATCACATTGAAGTCACCAAGGCTTGGGGCTTGCACACTCTGAAGCAAGAGCTGAAGCTGTACCTCAGCCCGTTTTAGCTGAGGAAAGAGATGTAATTGACTCATGGTTCCACGTGAGTGAGGAGGCCTCAGGAAACTTACAATCATGACAGAAGGTGACAGGGAAGCCAGCACCTTCCTTACAGTGCAGCAGGAGAGAGCAGAGTAAAGGAAGAATTTCTAAACACTTTTAAAACCATCAGATCTCATAAGAACTCACTCGCTATCATAAGAACAGCATGAGGGAAACCACTCCCATAATCCAATCACCTCCCTCCTTAAACGTGGGGATTACAGGTTCCTCCCTCAACACATGGGAATTACAATTCAATATGAGATTTGGGTGGGGACACAGAGCCAAACCATATTAACAGACCTAAATGTAAAATCTAAAACTACAGAAATTTTAGAAGAAAAGATGAACAAAAACCTTTATGACCTTCAGATAGCCAAAGATTTTTAAACTACCACACTAAAACTATGATATATAAATTTAATGTCATTAAATTAAAAATAACTACTATTCAATTACACTGTTAAGAGAATGAAAAGACAAGTCACCTGGAAGAAAGTCTGTAAACAGCAACAATAACAGCAACATATATCAAATAAAGGATGTACCCTGGAATATAGGAAGAATTCTCACAACTCAATATAAAGAAAACTTACAACTCAATCTTAATGTTTTTAATACAAAGAAGATATATAGGTAACAAATACACACATAAAAATGCTCAATATCATTAGTCATTTAAAAAATACAAATTAAGGTCACAAAAAATACCACTACACTACTATTAGAATGGCTAGAGGGTGGCCATGCCAAATGCTGGGGACAATGTGAAGGCTATGGTATTCTCACGCACTGTTAGATCTGTGTCCCTGTAATGATGTATGTATGAATGCTTTGAACATTCATAGCAACCCTGTTGGTAGTGACCAAAAACTTGACCAACCCAAATGCCCATCAATGGAAGAATATATAACTAAATTGTGGCATATTCTTTAATGGAATACTACTCATGTTGTTATGTTTTTATGTGTGTACTCTAAGTAACACATTTTTTAAGTCTTTCCCAGATAGAAGATAAAGAGCCTTTGAAAAATTTATGACTTATACTAGTAAAAATCAGGCATAATAGCTGTCAAGTCATACATCATCAAAGAGAACTAGATAAGGACTATGATATTATAATTTAAAATTAAAACATGAAACACATGTTTATGTTTGTAATTTAAATATTACTTATTTCATGTACCAAATGAAGAAATAGTCATACTATCTATGACAAAAACTTTGCAACCATCACATGCATAATTACACTGGGTCCAGATCTCATTATTGTTCTATAGAATATTCAAGAATAGAACTTCCATGTGGTTCATCCTGTAAGGAATTGTTTTAATAGTTTAACAAAAGAAATGAAAATAAAATTGAGACATATTATTTTTCGTTTTCAACGTTTATGACTTAATGAATGACTAAAACAACTTGCATACATGCGTGAAAAAAATTGGAGAAATTAACAGCCACTTGACTAATCAATGTTTCTCTTTTTTACAGAGGAAATTTTGCAAATATGCCTCCTTACACTAAAGGAGAATCTTGCTCTCTCTGCTCGAAAGAAGATAAATGTGTAAAGAACCTCTGCAGTAAGCAAAAAATATTATATTTAAAGAGTAAAGTTTCCATATATTTATTATATTTGAAAATTTGGCTTCTCAAGTTTACAAATTAGGGACAAGATTTGATTGTTGTTATCTGATGATATAAATCATTTGTCATAAATTTTAATACTCAAACTCAGATGATTCTTGCTTTCTTCACTGATTACTCTCCCTCTGAAGCTAAAGAGCATAAAGGAAGGAGGTACAACCATGATTCAATTTGCTGCTGCACTGAAAATAACTATGTGTTGAAATGCTTCTTATTTTTACTTGCTTTCATTGACCTCCTTTTATTAGTTATTAGAATAGTGATCCATTCCGAAGTAATTTGTTAGTCAATGTCCAAAGTAATTATGATTTAAAACTAACATGTTTCTCTTTCATGATCAACTTTTTCATTCTCAAAACAAATATGATTTTAAAGGCTAAAAGTATAAATTTTGGGCAGTGAGACCAGAGCAAAAAAAATGGAGCCATGTGTCAACAAAATGTCAATCTCTGCAAAATATTGGAAGAGATTTATTCTGAGCAAATATGAGTGGCCAATGACCTGTGAGACAGCCCTCAGGAGACCCTGAGAACATGTCTCCAAGGTGGTCAGGCTACAACTTGTTTTTCACATTTTAAGGAGACATAAGACATCAATCAATACATGCAAGATATACATTAGTTCTGTCCAGAAAGGCAAGACAACTGGAAGTGGGGCTTGCAAGTCAAAAGTCAAAGGTAGATTCAAAGATGTTCTGATTGGCAATTGGTTAAGTAATTGTCTAAAGGCTTACAATCAATAGAAAGGAATAGCTGGGTTAAGATAAGGGTTGTGGAGACCAAGGGTTTATTAAGTAGATGAAACCTCAAGGTATCAGGCTTCTGAGAGACTAGATTGTAAATGTTTCTTATCAGATTGAAAGAGTCTCTTCTATTAGACTTAAGATCTGTATTGGTGTTAATGCTGGAAAGCTTTTTCTGAATTCCAAAAAGGGAGGAAGGTATAACGGGACATGTCTGACCTCCCCTTTCCTATCATGGCCTGAACTAGTTTTTCAGGTTAACTTTGGAATGCCCTTTGCCAAAAGTAGGGGTCCATTCAGATGGTTGGGGGACTTAGAATTCTAGTTCTGGTTTACATTATCCTCCTTCTGGCCAACATTTGCCAGAGGCAAAGTCAACGGCCAGTAAACATTTACTTTATCCCATAGTTTTGCCAGGGTGGCATGGCTGCCTGCCCCAGGTTCATCCTGTCCCTCTGCGGAATCCCTATTGCCAAATGACCTAGATCCAAAAATTTATAGCCAATTTAAATGTTACAGCCCAGATGGGAATGGACATGGACAGGCATTCACTAACTGTTAAATTTTTTAAAGTAATATAAAAGCCAACCAACAAAAACACAAAGGTGAAGATACAAAATTGACTTACCTTTAACTTCTATACGTTGAGCTGCTATAATCTTGGTTTTAGTTACAGACTTAACAGCAATTAGCTACACAAAACATAAACATTATTAAAACCTTTTAAGCTAAGGAATTTAGAGATTTCTGTTGTGCCACATTTCTTTTTGTTGTCTTTAGTAATGTGTCCTAAGGTGTCTGATAAAAATTTTTTATATATAATTATCTGCATAAATCTCACAACTGGGAGTATTATACCCAGGAGGTTTTGTCATGGGTATCTTTATATTCTTTCAGTAATAATTTGTTGTTAATTCTACAGGAAGCAGCAAATTACTTATGGTTAGAATGGATTAAAAGGTGCCACATAAGAGCTCAGAAGGCAAAGTCCCTGTTTTACCAGCTGTTTAGGCATCTGTGTACTTATCCTTGATTGAGAAGAGCTGAACTAATTATATCCCTCAAAACCAGCCCTTGTAATCTCATGCAACCACCTCTTGCACAACAGTCCCTGGGCCTAGAGGGAGGGTATTTGTATTGTTTTAGCAACAGAGCATATGCAATGAAAAGCAGATCAGGCTCAATGGGATTCCAAATGAGGAAGATTTGCAGGTTTTGTCAAATCATCTGTTGTCCTCAGAATGCCATGATTCTGGTTTTCCTGGAAGAAGGAAAACCATGAGCGATCAATCACATTAATAATTTGACAATTAAAAAAGAATGTGTGTGTTAGAACAGAAAAAGGAAACTATTCCCCTAGAGCACTAACTAAAAACATAAAAAATTATAACCTGGTACTCTTTAGAGGATCACTGTAGCCAAGAGAGATTCATAATTCAATTTGCACTCAACAACAAAAGTCAGCACCAGAATTGAGTAACAAGTGTTGCAGTTTTCCTTTGAAACAATTTACCTCTTTCTCTAATCCTCCTTTACTACTAAAGAGAAATTATAGTAAAACCAATTTGTGTGCAAAGTAAGTTTTAGGTTTATTATTTGGCCTGATCATTTGCATAAAGTGCAACAAGAATTGATTGGCCATATAGACTTTTTTCAAATTGGCTTTGCTGTAATTTTATCTAAATATATGTTATTCTAGTTAAAGCCTTGGTAAAATAACCAGTGTCTTCTATTGTGCTTTTTGAAAAGAGAAGACTCTTAGTAGATTTACGCAAATAACTATATTGTCATAAAATCAGAATACTCAGGAACTGTTTTTGAATTTTGGAGAACTCAGGTAGAGAGAAAGGTAAATTTTCTCACAAAAGTGTACTTTACCCAATTACTCTAAACCATAAGTCACTCAAAAGAAAAAGATTTTCTTGCCTCTTCTTTAACCAGAGAAGCAGTCCTCGATATAAGATGCTGTTTGTTCACCTTGGAACTTCTATTCACAAGCCAAGTAGCTCTTGTCAGATGAGAGCTGTTTATCAGGAACTGTAGAATCTAGCAGCTCCTCACATAGAGTGAGACCTAGGGGCAAAAGAGGCCTCCTGGTCATGACCTCCTCCTTGTTTCCCCAGGTAGCAAGATCCTATATAAACCATTTATAAACCATTTTTATTTTATCATAAAATTTTGGGGGCACCATTATTTATATTAACACAAGGGTAGCTTCAGTTAACACCCCATAGCAAGGCAGTAAATGCCCCATAAGTGGAAATTCTCTAGTCCACAGTCCTTGTAGTTGTCATTAAGAAATGCTCACAGATTTTTGCCATAGGCCCCAGTAAATGCTCCATAAGGAGTTAAGTGGAGGATTTGTCCTGAGCAGCACTCAGCTTCTACCCTATATTCTGTGGGCTCAGGCAGCCTTACTAGTTCTTTTAGCATATCCAGTTAACATTTCACAAAGGGCAGATTTTCATGCCTTCAGATTTATAGTATTACATAGGGAAACAACCCCAGTGAGATCTAATACCCAGTTTCCTAAGACATGTAGGTAAAGGAGGTCACAACTACCTTACGTAAAGCCTGTTTCAACATTTCAAATCTCATAATACTATCAACCTTTACATTTTTATGTTCTGGTCCTAGGAAATGTTCTTCTCTACCACTAGACTATTTTACCTTTACTAATGAATATGTATTTAGGTTCCCAGCAGGGAATTAAGCCAAGAAACTCAGTCTCTTTTGTCAATCTTCATCTAAATTTGCCTCAGCAGTGCCCCAGGCAATGTCAGCTTTCTCATTATAATATCTGTCCTTTGATTTTTCTTAAATTTCCCCAATCTGGGGGCAAATGCAGAACACTGGTGTGGTGCTATTTAATGTTGGAGGATCGGCAGTGATTGCCTTAGGTCCACCCAGTCTTTGATAGTGTTGTAAAGACCTTGAACTCCATGAATTTTCATTTTATTTATTTCATTTATTAATAACCATTTAAAGATTTCCACTCTTCTGAGATGAGTCCTTTGACTCCCTTTTACCTTTCTCTTCTTTGTTGTTAATTACCTTAATGTTTTATTAGCATCTCTGAGACCCATGAAGGAAAGCAAATTTGGTAAGTTTTCTCAAACAGTTGTTCAGTTCTATAGGAGTAATGTCATCTGGGGTGCCCTGTAAAAAGAGCTCCCTTAAGCACAGCATTTACCATGACCTTGGTAATAGGCATATTTGGTGAGTGAATATCCTCATCATCATAAAGCCAGTCCCACATGGCTTGCATATGAAGTATTTCAGCTGCCTCATCTGGGGTCCTCCACTTGGCATTTTACAGGAAGAGTTGGGCAGTCTCCTTCTCAGGGTAAACAGAACCTACAGTAGCATTTATCCAATCCACTAGACTGGTCATTGTCTCAGGAATAACCTCCTGTGCATCCATATCACATGTATACTCATCAATTGTTTAATAGTGAACTACGGGTCCTACATTGACCCAAACATGCTCTTTCATTGCATAGCATTTAAAATTAAAGACACTGTCCTTAAAGTAGTTATTTTTACAATCCATTATACTAAAGGTTTCTCAGGAATCTGATGATATGAATCTACAAAATGGAAGAATTTTTTTTACTTTATACCCTCTGGTTTTAATAGTTGCTTGGTTTTGCCCCTCGCCAACATTGACTATTTTCTTAGTAACCGCAGGTCTTAGAGGTAATTTTTACTGGCCTTGGTTAATTTTTCCCTTTGTGGGTAGCTTTGAGGATAGTGGCCTGAGCTAACTTATATCTGAATTTGGTCCAGCCTTCAGACCAAACACAGCTCTCTTTCACTTTCATTATACCTATTACAAATAACAATAACCAAGGGATTGAATATTTTGCCTTTTTCTTAGTAGTCTGCATTTTCTTACACATTCAGTGAACTAACTCTCTGGGAGTATGACTATGATTCATCTCTAAATTGCACTGGCAACTTTTACCTTTAGTAACTGAATGCAGTCCAGCTGCAGCTCCTTAATATGGGTGACCACATAGCCACCCAAGAGTCAAAGGTTTCTTACTCCCCACCCTATAATTTTCTCTTCATCCATTTGGTATTATCTGCATATTTGTTTCCTTTATTTTAAAGATACTCAAATAGCCTCTAAACTAACAAAAATATTATATTCTCTTTAGCAAAAATCACATCTTTATGTTTCTATAAACT